CCTTTCAGGCATTGATACCCGTTCGCACGTAAGTGCAAGAGATCAATGTTTTCTGGGTATTTTGTCAAGAGATTTTTTGTTAGCTCCATAAATTCTTCCATTTTTATCTCGCGGAGTAGGTTATTGGCTTCGACGATACAATTTCGTATGTAGGTTTTCTCGGGGAGCCATATTCGCGATAGTTCTCGTACAACGATGTTTGATGTGTAGTGAAGATTTGACTCTTGTCCACAACCTGGGCACATTGTCCGACCTTCGCGCTCATAGTTTCCTAAACATTCCAAACAAAATGTATGCCCGCATACTAACGTGACAGGAACATGCAATAGCTCTCGACACAACTTGCATGTAAATATCTCTTCGATTGGTAAGCATTTCTCCATACAATACCCCCGTTCTTCGACTAATTTGGCATACTCGGCTGCTACTAAACTCGACACAAACTCGTTGATTATATAACTCTGTTGCTGTATATCGCCATGGATGAAAGCCTGTCGGTACGGTTCAAATGCTTCATCAACGCGCCGTATCTTTACCGAATTATTACCAAGTAAATTGTACTGTTGTTTCTTTTGCTTTCCCATAACATGATATGATAACATCGTACGTATATTATATTGGGTACTCGTATATGTTTTATGTTGTACACGGATGTATATATGTATACGAAAAATAGAAGCAATCTTGTGCTGGACTTGTGAGCCTGATCTACGGAGAAAATGATCTCGGTCCTCATCGGTAATATGTATACAAGGATTCCACCTACTTAACTTACTTACTTATGGAAAACGGATGTTTGAGCCGCATTGCGCGTGACCACAGGGGGTCCAACTAAGAGCTGTGTTATGAATATGAATAAAACATTAATTAAACGTAATATGAATAAAACATCATAACGTAATATATTTAAATTATTGCACTTACTTGTATAAATCATAAGAGCTTGTATTTGCAGTGAATAGCTTTTAACAGGGCGCTTATACGCGCTCAGAAAATCGCTCAGAAACATTTTGATTCGAACGATTGTTCAAATATGGCGAATAAATTGACAAAACGAAAATATTACATGACGTTCCAACGAAAGTAACAGCAAGGATTGCGGGCGCGCGAAAAGACGAGGGAACTCAGGGAAGAAATAAATAGAAGGGATGAAACAAATATCACGTGACTTTTTAAAATGCTTCTAGACTACCCGTTTAAGCTTTTTGTGGGGGTTTTAAGGCTCAGTCGATGTTCTCTTACATGAACAAGCCTAGTCATTACCAAAAAAGCACTGATCAATCTAATTTATGTGATTTATAACAGCGAGCATTCTTGGCCATTATCGCGAGATGTGTTCCATAAGTAGCCTGTTCTCGTGACGTATGACGAAATAATAATAAAACTAAATAATGTAAAAAAAACCGTTGGTTGCTACATTTAAACATTTCATATTAGCCGGTATAGCTAAACATTGTTTATTTTCATTATTTAAGCGCTTAGGCGTTGTTGGAGTTGGCAGGAGGCGTTTTAGAATTTTTCGAGAGAACAGGCTACTTATGGAACACATCACACGATCGCATTACCGGTGTTTCATCCCTTCTATTAATATCTATTACCCTCGCCTTCCGCTCGCGCCCGCAATCCTTGTTGTTATTTTCGTTGGAACGTCATGTAATATTTTTGTTTTGTCAATTTATTCGCCATATTTGAACAATCGTTCGAATCAAGTGTTTCTGAGCGATTTTCTGAGCGTGTATAAGCGCCCTGTTAAAAGCTATTCACTGCAAATACAAGCTCTTATGATTTATACAAGTAAGTGCAATAATGTAAATATATTACGTTATGATGTTTTATTCATATTACGTTTAATTAATGTTTTATTCATATTCATAACACAGCTCTTAGTTGGACCCCCTGTGGCGTGACACGTGAGTTCGGCACATGTTTTGAACGCATCAGAAATTCAATAACATGTTGCGGTTGGTTGCAGTGGCTGTTTTAAATATTTGCATAATTTGATCAAAGAAACTAGATTCGGAACATTGTGGAAATCGTTCGCATGGAAATGTGATCGGAATTCGTAAGCACGCTGAGACTTGCGCGATTTCTTATTTTCTTCTTTCGTGCGAAGTGTGAAATTTGAGAAAGTCGAGCACACATTGTCGTTCCGAAATTATCGTTCCGATTTCGGCTCTCGTCACTCTCGTGTACATGTCAGTAGGCAGTAAATCTTGTGACGCTTTTCAACACTGAAGAAATTACAGTGCCCAATAGTATTGAGTAATCCTTCTATTGAAGAACGAGACTTTTTTTGTTTCAATTCATTTCATGATTAGGCGACCCAACATTTTCGAGACTTGACTAAAGGGGTAGGCTTTTTAGGGATATATTTCATGTGTAGTTGGCCCGATCTTCTTTTAAGACTTTTAAAATTATATTCCAATTCTATCTGAATTTCGATTTTAAAATTATATTCCAATTCTATCAGTGCTTTCAACACTGAAGAAATTACAGTGCCCAATAGTATTGAGTAACCCCTCTATTGAAAAACGAGACTTTTTTTGTTTCAATTCATTTCATGATTAGGCGACCCAACATTTTCGAGACTTGACTAAAGGGGTAGGCTTTTTAGGGATATATTTCATGTGTAGTTGGCCCGATCTTCTTTTAAGACTTTTAAAATTATATTCCAATTCTATCTGAACTATCTTCAGCAGTTAACTATAAGAATTTTTCGACAACTGTAATCCGATAGTCAGACTGTAGTTTTATTTTGCGCGGGGAATATTTCCATGGTCCATCCCCTCTCGGCGGCCCTGCTCGATGGCACCGTCATGATCAGAGGAAGCGCCTTTCACCGTTCGGTTCTCGTCCGGACTCAAAACATTCATGTGAAAATTGAAGAGTCAGTAGCTGTGCGCCAGAGGCGCCCTAACTGGCGAACGCCTTCGACTCAATGAACAACTTGCATGTTAGACTAAATTTTAATTTAAGTAAAGAGAAGGGAATCAAACACCACAGCTAAAAAGGACATAATGAAATTAGTAAAATTGCAAAATTTGGTTGCGAAAAGGTTTGAAGCTTGGAAAATATGGTCCTGCAAAGTTTGCGGTATGTGTTTGTATTACGTGCGGAAATTGTTACCATTTTCGGCTCAACGTAATACAAACATATACAAAATTTGCAAACTTCGCAAGGCTATAGTTTCCGTATTTTACAACATTTCGTAACCAAATTTTGCAATTTTACTAATTTTAATAAGTTCTTTACGGGAATTTACTTTTTTTGCCTAGATAAAAAATTTGTCGAACATACAAGTTGCCTATTGAAGTTGAGCTCATGCGCCCTTCGTAATCAGCTTAGCTCTCGGAACAAGGATGACTAGCTCGGTCCCAGTCCCACTTACTTAATATACACCGAATATCTGCTTAATTGTAAATCCTTGACAACGCAGCTTTCTGTTATCCGGTGTCTAGGGAAACGTGATGTTCTCCACAAGCTGATAAAACAGTTATGTAATAATTACATAACAGTTAATAACAGGCCTCTAGTTTAATTAAGAATTCGGCGTCAATATAAAAGGGCTGTTTACCTGATCAGGTTTGCAGAGACGGATGGAAGGTGGGTTGATTTTGATGTACTGCAATAAGTCACCATGCTTAAATGAGAGTCGAAACGCCTGTTTAAAGGGACTGAAATGTCGGCGAGAAGAGCAATAAGATCTTCTTGAACTACGAGATGCTTGAATCAAGCATCTCGTAGTTCACAGCTTGAACAACCCTTTCGTTCACACTATAATCTATCACTAAGTCTAAGAAAATCATGGAGTTTGCTGAACCATGAGTATCGGCGTCACTTGAATACGTCTAACCAACTGAGCTATACAAAGTCCCGTTGCTGAGCTTTAACCACAAGTTCATGTATAAATACTAAGGTGATGTATTATATAATGAGTATTGAGTATTGGTCTGATATGTTAAAACAAGCCTGTTTTTCATTATGCAAATGTACAAGGAATTATATCATGGCTGAATTATTTTAATACACTTTACCATACGTTATATATTACAAACAAGATTATCAAATTATCAATGATCGATTGTCAATATTAGCCTGAAATTATGGTCTTAGAACAGTCTTATATATAGTGTCCTACGCTACAGGATTGTATTAACTGTTTTAGGTCAGTCCGCAGGCACAGATAAAGTCGGTCATGGACCAGTCTTTGTCGTCAGTTTATACTACAGCGCGGCTTGCGTGATGTCGGTGTAGGGTTAACTACTTTCGAGGTCAGGCTGTCTCTATTGCAGGGACTCGATGTGCCAGAGTCATTCTTAATGCTCATCCTCGACACAGCAGTATCGACGTGTTCAGCACTCTAGGTTGGGTACCGTTTTTGTGTTGAGGCTGATGTTGAACGTTGTCTCGTGGGCCGTGGCGTATAAAAGGTCAGCTGATACCTGTCCAGATTATACATAAAGGATCTGTTGATTCGCACTGCTCCGATATATAACAGAGTTAAAGAAAGAGGGTGTACATTTTCGATAACCACAGCCAAATGCAGGAACTATACCTCTTATACATTTTTAAGAAAGAATTATACCGGAAACTTAAGACCGATCAACTTAACGACAAGGTTTTTAATCCATTTTTAGATAATCTTGAGACACTATATATATATGTACATGCATAGCATACTCTATAGGTTTTATTGTTGTTTATTATTTTATATGTGCATCACATATCATGAGGGCCACAAATGCAAATTTAATTTGGACTTCTTCAGGTTGGGTATTTTGAAAGAGATTACCTTAGGGGTCAAGTGTAAAAATTGAAATTCTTCAGGGGTAAATGCTGATTTCTTCACAGAGAACATATAGGTTGAGCTAAGTCCGCTGATCTGAAATAAGCACTGGACAAAGCATCCTATTGAATTCAGCAACCCGATTTTGAAGTCAGAATATTTTAATGAGACGAGACTTATAAATCAGTCAAATTCATGACCAGTCTAATCGTTTGCTGTTTAAGTTCAATTAGACTATAAAGCAAGTATCTTCGCATTTGTGACTTCAGAAAACCTCTTCGAAATAAGTTCTTTGAAACAGTTTTAGAACGTTTTATACACCACATAATGAGGCTTATGGGCCTATGGCGGCCATGTTTGATGGCCGACATTAGTTATTCACCGGCAAATTTAGGAAAAAGGTAGGCTACTGATGATAAATTCTTATCTAGGCAATATTTGTCCTTTCCCGCACTAGTGACCAGAGACGTAAAGGAAGAGTTAAACATGTCCACAACACCAGACTAGATTAATGGTGGGGCCATCCTTTCGATCAAAATATTTCTAGCAGTAAGCAAGATAGAACGGTAAAATATTATATACAATCTTAAAAGTTCTTTCAAATGAGAAAATAAAAAATATATATTGCCATTTCCCTTTTTAAACAATTTATAACTAAAAAAAGTGTGTACTCGAGGACGTTTATGCTATTCCCTATAGGCCTGTAACCATTTTATGTACAGTTTCCTAATCATGCATATATGCGCGCACTATAGCGTAAACTTTGCGCTCATAAAACGTCTTTACATGCGCGACAGAACTTATCCCAATTAGTTTTCGGCAAATTATTTCAGACTTATCTATGCAGACCGTATGAGAATAAAAATTGCACCAATATCTTTCATATTATTTTAATTAATTAATCACATGCAATAATTCATTGACATTGTAGAAAATAAAAAAACTATAAAATAACTATTTAATTAAACAAGTGAAAGTTAGCAATTTAACAGAACTAAGATTGTTAAGTTCACATGCGTCGACTATTTGCCGACTATTTGCCGACTATTCGCCTTTTAGTATCAATGAGTGATTCCAGCTAGACTGCTAAGTTTTGATCACGGCAAGAACGAAATCCAACACCACAGCTAGAAAGAGCGTCTTAGAATGAGTCAAACTGCAAAGATTGGTTGCTAATGTTGTAAAATGAAGAAAATATAGCCCTGTGAAGTTCCCAAATTTTGCATATATTTGTATTACGCGCGGTAAAAATAAACCAAAAATGGTTATTTTTCGCGCACGTCATTCGAATATATACAAAATTTGCGAACTTCACAGGGCTATATTTTCCTCATTTTATTCGCAACCAAACCGTTTGCAATTTTACTCATTTTAAGATGCTCTTTCCAGCTATGGTAATGGATTTCGTTCACTTTGTCTTTCAATACAAGAATATATATTTGAATATTACAGTTTTAGCAACAAAAAATTTTATTGCTTCATCTGAAAGAGCATGAAAAAATAAACCGATTGGCCGTTTAATGCTCTATTCTATCTCATCTATAGTCCGAAGTTATACGCAAAAATGTGTAAAATATAAGTTGCCGATTCAGCACAACGTGTGACGTCATTAGTTGGGTAAGTATGTTTATTGAATAGTAAACTGAAGCATAGCTCAGTTATTATGGGCCCAAATCAAATGAAATTTTGCATACTGATTGTACATGAGACGCATTGAAAAACACTTCTAATTTTGTTGCCAGGGTAACAATGTCGTTCCCAGGCCCCTTGCGCCAATTTTATAAAACAGCTTTATTCATGGTACTGATAAGGATAAAATAATAGAAGTATGTGTACCATACCTATGCATGCCAAAAGTTTACTTGCATGATAATATTCGAAAATGACATACACATAGATAAATGCAACTAGTTATTCAAAATCAGTGTAAGGGGACTGGGAACAACTGTGTTACCTTGACAACAAAATTAGAAGTATTTTCCCATGCGTCTCAGCATGTACTATCTGTATGCAAAATTTCATTTGATTTGAGCCAATAATAATAACTTAGATATGCTTCAGTTTACTATTCAATAAACATACTTACCCAACTAATGACGTCACACGTTGTGCTGAATCAGCAATTTATATTTTACACATTTTTGCGTATAACTTCGGAACCAGATGAGATAGAATAGAACAGTAAACGGCCAAGCGGCTTATTTTTTCATGCTCTTTCAGATAAAGCAATAAAAATTTTTATTGCCAATACCCTTTAATTAATTCATTATCAAATAATAATCAATAACTTTGTTCATCTTTTAACTTTGAATTAGCAACTAAACAACGCGCTATTGTCAAAATCTATTTATTATATAAACATAAGTGTTATATAGAGTTTTTGGCCACTGAGAAAAATCGTATTTGAACACACGTAAAAAATACGATATTTTTACGTGTGAAAATATCATTTGTTGTAAAACGCATTGCCACGGACGTTTTATTGTTTTTCACTGAATTTTGTTTATATAATAAACAGAAAAATACATGGGTGCTTGGAAATACCAGATTTATTTCTCGTGTTGAACATGATATCTCACTCGTTCGCTGCGCTCACTCGTGAGATATCATGTTCAACACTCGAAATAAATCTGGTATTTCCGCGCACCCATGTATTATTCTCTATATCTTTTCTTAATATGTATATATTAATCTATAAAATCTGCGTTATAATATTGTATGATCCCGGTGAAGTGACGTTTTAATAACTATTACATTTAAAAACCAAACCCCCCTGTCGAGGACCTCTGCTTTGGAGATTTTTACCCCTCAGGAATGCAAAGAAATCTGTGTATTTGACCACAGATTTGACCCTTCTGGAATAGAGGTCCTCGACAGGGTGGGGATTGGGTATTAAATGTAATAGCCTAACATGGCCAGGGACCACGATCGCAAGCAAAATTTGGTTGTTGAGTGCTTCTCCTTAACAATATTGCTAAGAACCGTTTCGCACTGTTTAAACGTTCAGTGATCGATGTCATAGACAAGATGATGTGTTTTGCCTCGTGGTTCAAAGGCATCGCAACCAACAGCCACCATAACCAGCTGGGGCCATTCTCATTTGTTCCCTGGAGTGCATCAGGCAATCGCCCAACCGCTTTCACAATGCATATCTTCTGCTCGCTCGGTAGCTTTTCAAGCCATTGTGTCATCATGTTGTAGACTTCGCAATTGAGTTTAGTGTAGTCGCTCTCATCACACTCATCCTGAAGCCAAGCAACCTTGGCAGTGTTGTAGCCATCTTGTAACCCTCGCTCCAAAACTTGAAAGCGCCTGCTGCCAACCGTGTGAACAACAGACCTTCCATCGGGCAAGAAATTGACGTCGTTTATATGTAACATTGTTCCAACCGTCGCAAAAGTTTGCTCGGGATCTGGAGCGCACATGCCAAATTGTCGCGAACCGCTTTCGATGCACCGCCGTATCATGAGCTTGTAGCGAGGTTCAAATATATGCAGAGGACAAGCAATGTCGGGCACTGCCAGTGTGCATACGAATATCGGTATCTCATCCTTGTTGCTTTCGCATCTATAAGAAATGAAATAAAGAGAATATAGTTTCAGATTATGATCCTTGTTTATGAAATAGCTTCTTCTGTCAGTTGTCAGATGTTTTTGCAAGATGTCCGTTCAAATTGCCGTGTACCAATATTGTTTTAATCAATCAAGCCATACTTGATAACCATAATATTAGCATACGCGTGACCGAAACACGTGAATCAGCGCATGAGCGTGCTTCTGTTTTGGCCCGTGCGTGGATGCACGGAAACGTTTAAACCCTTATAAACTTTACTGATGAAATAACCAATTCAATAAAAGGATAAAATTCGGTTTTCTGTATGATTTAATGTGGATTTGTTGAGGTAAGTAGTACTAATATAAAATTTAGAAAGATTTAAACTTTTTCGTTTAATTATTAATACTCTAACATCATCTGACGAGATCGTCAACTGAAAAACATTCCGTCATTATTCATTAACATATGGCAGACACCATTTCTAGATATTTCAAATTTGTTGTTGAACTGGGTCTGGGCAGGGTGATAAAAATATTTTATATTGCTTAACTGATATTTTCGAGATATTTAAATTTTGTTGTAACGAATCGATTAGCAAAACCGGAAAAAAGAATTGTAGAATTGTTACGAATTCGCAATGGCGCAATGCCAATGGTTTGAATTATTCATCATAAATGATAATGCTACATGCATGTTATATATTATCATCGGTGGCCGATTACATAACATTTTGCACTTTTTATATTGGCCTGCTTTGACAGTATTTTTTTTAAAAAGCATGCATGAATTTTAAGTGTTAATTGTGCTATCGTCGTCTGATACTTGTATTTTATAAGCGTTTTATTCAACATTTTTTCTTACGTAAGACGTTCTATGACGCGCGCGCTGGCTTTTCATCGCGGCACGTGATTTCGACATGCATTAAGAAAAACGTATCGACGCCAAGGTGGTTTATTTCTTCATTTTTGAAAATTTCAGAACTTTCTTACGTGTAACAAGTCATGGTTTAGGGGCTGTTTATATATGGGGCAAGCCATGCGTGACCCAAGATCTTGCTAAAGTCGTGGGATGGAATTTGTCATATAAACGCAATGACCCAGGCTCGCTTGCCGACTATACTATAGACTATACTAGTACTGGCAAATATAATGGTGTTAATGATATCTTCCCGACGGATAACGATCTCAGAAGGTTTCTGTGCAGAGATTTGGAACGGAGGTTTACATAACCCAAGAACAGAAGGAGAGCATGCATTGAACGAATTCAAAAACGAGTACTTAGCCTGGCTTCCAGTTGAGTGTGTGTTAAAACTCAGGGATGCGGTTATGACATTTAAGTGCATGAAAGGGTTAGCTCCGCCATACTTGTGTGACAAATTCGAAATGAGATCAAAGACTCACAGTGTTAACACCATTTTGCGCAGCCAGTGTTAACACCATTTTGCGCACCATATTGCGCAGTGTCTATTTGGAATGAGCTCACAAATCATATTAAAGGCATTGACACTTTGGACCGGTTTAAACTAGAATATAAATGTCATTTATTGCATGGATTTTTAGAAGGTAGTTAATAGTTTTAGACAATTTGGGCTTGTTTAAATTAGCATATAAACGTTTTTACTGTATGGATTTTATTAGGAAGTAGTTAACATTTTTTAAGTGACATTACTAATAATTATAAATTTTAATTTGTGTTTGTATGTACGTATGTATGTATGTATGTATGTATGTATGTATGTATGTATGTATGCATGTATGTATGTATGTATGTATGTTTGTTTGTGGGTGTATATATATTGTTTGTAGCATATAAATGATTTGTAATTACCTGCTGAAAAGCCCTTTTGGGAGCAGGCAATATTGTAATAATAATAATAACAATAATAACCAAGACTATACGCTCAAGCAATAACTGAGACGAAGTTTACGAATTATGTATATCTCTATAATTAAAAAAATACTGGAACCAAACCATAAACTTCATAGCCTCTTATACGGCAAAGACACTAGAATACATCAGGCAAAATAGATTAGTATATAAGGTTTTATATTTAATGAATGAAGTAAATAAATAGAAGGTATATATATACGCTTTTTAGATTTCCTTATATTGTAAACGCATTGTGAATTAGCTAACTAGTGCTGCTAAATGTGTCAATAAACCATTTATATGGTATACCATCCATTACTTTGGTAATGGTACACCTGCATAGGCATTACCAAAGAATGATTTCATGTTCGTTGCCGTTGGGAAATGTGTTTCTATTGGCTAATATAGTAATAGGGATATATATATATAACTATACTTTGACTTTGTTTTGGCGCCAGGCAGCCGTCTAAAGAGTCAGTATAGAGTTTGGCAAATACAAGGGCAACGGCAATGACAATATGGTCATCAACATTAGCATTAATCCTCAAAGACAAAGGCGAATGTAAATTACATGGTCTTAAGCGTTGTGCAATGCCGTAGTTGTTGAAACTGATACATGAAAATCTTCACGATGCATGTCGACCACGGCAACAGTTAATTCGTTCGATGTTATTTGAGTTGTTTTATTTGAATTCGCGGACCATTTTTACTTAAGGACTGTTTTGGCGAAGCAAGAATACTTAAAGAGGCAAATTAAGTGTAGTAACATATACTTTGGCCCAAATTGAAAATAATATAAGCAATTATATTTTCGTCGTTGCCGTTCTAGGTTGCCAAACTCTATAATATAAACTCGGGAAAGCGCGAGCTAGCCTATAAAAAGTAGGTCATGAGGAACAGTTAAATCCCATTTTTTCTGTCAAACTTTTGGCTGAAACTTTCGAACTTCCCTGGAAACGTCGCGAAGTTCTATTTAGAGTACGGAACTTCCTGCAAAAACGTCGCGAAGTTCTGTTTAACGTCGAATTCTGATTGTATTTTTAAGGTAGTTGTATGTATCTGTCGATCGCAATACGCAATTATCTTATCATCGTCTCTATTACTAGCCTATAACCAGGTCGACTCTGTAGCTCAGTTAATTAGAGCGCTGACATTTCAACAACAGCCCGATCGTTAACGATACCTATTTTAAATTAATGAACAATATTTGGCAACGAACAATATTTGAACAATATTTGGCAACTATATATGCATGAACTCAGTTGTTTTGTCTTGTAAAGTGAAAATTGACAATCATATATCTTGGAGTGTGAAAATTGACAATCATATATCTTGGAAAGCTCGCATCGATGATTTGCCTTCAAATCTTAGCAAACTTATTAAGCAGTGTTCGGCCGAATTTGGATTTATCTGCCACTTCAAACAAGGATTCTTTCGAGTATATAGAAACTTTCTATTCAAAAGTCTTAACTTGAGTCTTGAAGTTAATTCTCATGGCCCTGTATATACATACAATGACAGAATAGTTTGGTTCAATTTTGATATCAAGAACATAAAGTATGTATTTTTCCATCATTTCTTCGGTGAAACTGAATATAGAAAATACTGAGGATGCAGTCTTTTCGTCTTTGGCTATAGTCTATACCTTATTTAATATGTTTATTGACGATGTTTAGCAGTGTTTTTACACGATTCATGAGTTTGGCGAAACAGACTTGAGCTGTTTCCGGCCTTGAATGCATGGTCTGTGCCAATACAACTACCTGAAAAATATAAGGAGAACCTCGACGTTTCGAGCGAAGGCACTTCGGTTTGGAAGGTGAGAAAGTTTAGATTTCAGTATCATGCAGTCTTAATATAAGTTTTTGTAGTTCGTGTATTCTTGATGTGTGTGGCGATTGTCCCCAAACAGCTAGTGCTGCAGTCAATCCTTGGTTGAAAGAAAGTTTTATAGAATAGAATAAGTCTATATTGTCGCAAACTTATAGTCAAAACATATGTTTTGATGGAAAAAGCAATTTATCATATAGGTATAGCGTAAAGCCCGTGGATCAATCGAAGATGAGATTGCCGATGAGAATCGCACGACCATCTATGACCATGGTTAGTTGTTCCTATACCAATGCAGTAATGCTTCCCAACACTAGCATGTGATCTTTTTAAGTTAAAACATAGTTCGGTAGTTGGAGGACTAACTCAAACCTGTACTTTGTTAATCTAGAGCTTGAAATGACCCTATATACTGTCACAAATTGGTTTGAACAAGGAAACTGTAGTCTGTAGTGTCGACCAAGTATATTTTGCAGGAGATGAAACTCATTTCTATTATAATATGCGTTCTGCATTTAATTGTCTCTGCTGTTTGTAATCGTCTCCGTATCTCACGCTGGCATAGACAATATACGAGTTTTTAATATGGGCAGAAGATGCGAAAATTCTCAAACATTTTTTGCCATAAGTGAAAAAAACCTTCAATTTTTAACCGAGAACAGTTTTTCAATATCAACAGCACCCGACTTTAATTATATTCAACTCTATATTGAAAGCCATGCATCAGGGACTATAATATACGACATATTATTTCAAACTGTATAAACCCAATGAAATATCCAAGATATACCATTATATGTTATGATATATAATGGTATATATTTTTAAATAGTTTCAGCGGTCAAGTAAGGACATCTTACCTTGAGAATTCCAAAAGTTCTTTTTCGTAAGCTAGTCTTCTGGTTTGATATTCGTCCTTAAACTTCAACATACATAGACTCTCTAACACCTTACATGTTCCCACGTTTTTCATGATGAAATGTTCCAGATAGCTCTGTAGGTTCGTTCGACAACACGGGCAATCAAGTCTGTGATCAAGACAACGTCTTAGACAGGCTCGACATAAAGAGTGGCCGCATGATGTGGTAACAGGTTCATAGAGTAGATTGAAACACAGTTTACATTCTAGTTCACTTGGAATATTGGATTTCGGTGGGATTATGATGTTTCTCTGAATACAACTAACTCGCTGACATTGTGAGATATTCTTTGACTCTGTTTCTTCTTTTTTATAACGTGAACGGTCTTGATCCATCAAAGACAAAGTATCGACGGTTTTCTCTGTTGCGTCGGTTCTACACGTTGGGTCGCCTCTGTGATCAGTGGAGTCGGTTCTAAAAGCATGTTCATTTGAGTTCATTGTAACTGCTACATTTCTATGTCCAACTTGACCATCTTCATTTATACAAACTGGTATTCTCCTTGACATATTTTGCGCCGTCGTGGTAGATTCGTCGAAATTTGGCTCGGATTTTACAGGCAAACATTTTAATACTCTTTTGGTAGTAGCTTCATGATCAGCGTTGTAGGACGAGCTGGGGGAACACAGTTCGCTTGAATTGCAGATATTTCTTAAACGTTTCTCAAGACACGAAGTCAATCTACCGCGGTAAGTGAGGTCGTTTGGTTTCAAAGCAGAGGCACGAAGGAACATTACCATTGCCTCCTCTGGCTCATAATGCTTGCCAACAGTTCTCCTCGAGCGTATAAAACTTTACTACAAAATGGTGCAAGTGTACATGCAAAATCTAAGACATCTAGAGCGTCACTATAACCTTTCAGGCATTGATACCCGTTCGCACGTAAGTGCAAGAGATCAACGTTTTCTGGGTATTTTGTCAAGAGATTTTTTGTTAACTCCATAAATTCTTCCATTTTTTGCTCGCGTAGTAGGTTATTGGCTTCGACGATGCAATTTCGTATGGAGGTTTTCTCGGGGAAGCATATTCGCGATAGTTCTCGTACAACGATGTTGGATGTGTAGTGAAGATTTGACTCTTGTCCACAACCTGGGCACATTGTCCTACCGTCGCGCTCATAGTTTCCTAAACATTCCAAACAAAATGTATGCCCACATACTAACGTCACAGGAACATGCAATAGCTCTCGACACAAATTGCATGTAAATATCTCTTCGATTAATAAGCATTTCTCCATACAATACCCTCGTTCTTCGACTAACTTGGCATTCTCAGCTGCTACTAAACTCGACACAAACTCGTTGATTATATAACTCTGTTGTTGTATATCGCCATGGATGAAAGCCTGTCGGTATGGATCAAATGCTTCGTCAACGCGCCGTATCTTTACCGAATTATTACCAAGTGAATTGTACTGTTGTTTCTTTTGCTTTCCCATAACATGATATGATAACATCGTACGTATATTATATGGTGTACTCGTATATGTTTTATGTTATTCGCGTATATATATATATGTTTGTATACGAAAAAATAGAAGCAATGTTGTGCTGGACTTGTGAGCCTGATCTGCGGAGAAAATAATCTCGGTCCTCATCGGTAAATGCTATCTTTCAGCTTAATGTATACAAGGATTCCACCCTTACTTATGGAACACGGATGTTTGAGCCGCTTTGTACGTGACACGTGAGTTCGGCACATGTTTTGAACGCATTAGAAATTCAATAACCTGTTGCGGGTGGGTTGCAGTGGCTGTTTTAATTAAATATTTGCATAATTTGATCAAAGAAACTAGATTCGGAACATTGTGGAAATCGTTCGCATGGAAATGTGATCCGAATTCGTAAGCACGCTCAGACTTGCGCTATGTCTTGTTTCTTCTTTCGTGCACATGGGAAAGGTGAAATTTGAGAAAGTCGAGCACACATTGTCGTTCTGGAATTAATATCGTTCCGATGTCGGCACTCGTGTACATATGTGTCATTAGGCTGTAAATGTTGTAACGCTTTTCAACACTGAAGAAATTACAGTGCTCAGTAATAATGAGTAATCCTTCTACTGAAGAATGAGACTTTTTTGTTTCAATTCATTTCATGATTAGGCGGCGGCCCAACGTTTTCGAGACTTGACTAAAGGGTCTAACGCCCGTATTCTAAAAGCTCACTCACACTCAATGAGTGGAGGTTCAATCTAAGCTTCTCTTGAGTGTCAGTGCTGTTTTTGAATAGCTGGAGGGTGAGTAGTCACATAGTAAGGTATGGCACTACCCCTCCCTATTCAAAAACAGCATTGACGCTCAAGAGAAGCTCAGATTGAACCTCCACTCATTGAGTGTGAGTGAGCTTTTAGAATACGTAAGGCTTTTTAGGGATATATTTCATGTGTTGTTGGCCCGATCTTTTAAAATATATTCCAATCCTATCTGAAAAATATCTTCAGCAGTTAACTATAAGAATTTTTCGACAACTGTAATTCGATAGTCCGACTGTAAAGTTTTATTTTTGCGCGGGGAATATTTCCATGGTCTATGCCCCGGCAGCTGTGCGTTATGTTATCTTTTTGTGTATGATTGAAGCTTGCTCTCAGTACATACGAGACGAAATAAATGCATTAATTCATCAAAAATACGGAATACTCGATAGCCGTCATGATCAAGACTTATATCCAGTCTTATTGAATTCCCCACTCATTGGAGGGGGACAAGGGTATTTTCGTGACTCGTGATTAGCAATTATTCGTGATTCGTGATTTGAAGAAATACCATTCCGTGAATCGTGATTAATATGCGTGCCGTGAATCGTGAAAAGCTAAAAGGGCTAGCCAGGGTCTTTAATTTATCAATATTTTACCCTAACTTGTGAATATCTACGTTTAAAACTCTGCCCAAATTTAATATTAAGGTTTAAAAAAAGGAAAAAATTGCTTCCCGCGGTTGTCTTTCTTGAGGTTTCTTCGTTTCATCGTAAACGTTGTTGTCTTATACCTTCGTACCTCTTCGTAGACGTCGTAAGACGCTCGTAATGTTTCGTAATGCCTCGCAATGATTTCCATAGTCTTTTAAAAGCTCTAATGTTAAAGTCAGTAAAATGTGTTTGTGTTAACAACGATTTCTGCTGTCTCGAAAATCGTTAAATGGTTTCAGACTTTGTTGCGCTTCTGTGTTTCTAAAATTCGTGAAAATGAAATTTTGTTTTTCGTGACTCGTGAAATCTAAAAATGATCTTCGTGATTCCGTGACGAGACCCCCCCCCCCCCTTGCCCCCCTCCTCATTGGTGAGCGGGTTTTCCAACAGTCTACTATATTGCACCATTTTCGGCCCCGGCAAATGTGGTAGCAATCTCCGCGCGCAACACAAAAGTATACAAAATTTGCGAACTTTGCAAGGCTATATTTTCCGCATTTTAGAACATTTCGCAGCCAAACTTTGCAAAGTTTTACTCATTTTAGTATGCTCTTTCCGGGAATATACTTTTGTTTTCCAAGATAAAAAATTAATCTATAATGTTATGATTAATCGGAATTGTCTATTGGGCCAATTTCCGCAATATACAAGGGTATACAAAATTTGCAAACTTAATTTGCAAGGCTATATTTTCCGCATTTCACAACATTTCGCAACCAAACTTTGCAATTTTACTCATTTTAGTACAGTGGAACCCCGTTAATACGGTCACCAACGAGCCGAAATAATATGGCTGTATTAACGGGGTGGCCGTATTAACGGGGTGGCCGTATTAACGGGGTGGCCGTATTAACGGGGTGGCCGTATTAACGGGGTGAGATCAAATTTCAATTGTGACGTCATTAAAGCTATGTTTATTCGAAAATCACAATAACACCATACCCCACCATAATACCAATTAATAACTAAACATTATAAAGTTCAGATAAAGTTTCCACTAATTTTAAAGAAACAATGTTAGGGAATACAACGTCGCTAAAGAACCCTGTATTCTTTCTTTTCCTTTGCGCGACTGATAATAAAAATAAGAAAATTAGTAATATGATGCAACTTGAATTGTGTGTTTGACTGCACAAGGTGTCTTAAATTATACTGCATTTCCGTCGGTAAACACATTTATTTTTTTTAAGTGACCGTATTAACGGGGTGATTTCTTTAGTTTGGGACTCTACAATATGGCCGTTGGCCGTATTAACGGGGTGGCCGTATTAACCGGGTAACTTTATTATAAAATGTATTAGTGTTTCGCTGGGACAAAAAAAAGTGTGACCGTATTATCGAGGTGACCGTATTAACGGGGTGGCCGTAAGGCGGGGTTCCACTGTATGCTCTTTCTAGCTGCGGTGATTAATTTGCATCTTCTTGCCTAGTTTAAAAATTAATCCATAATGGGAATTATCAATTGATAGGGGATCCGAGGTACCTACGATTTTAACGTCCCTATCCGAGAAGACGCGAAAGTCTAACCATTTACTTTGATGTCAATGTAAAGGTAGCTCTTTCTCGTTTCTCCTCTATTATTTTAAGACCTTGAGTAGAGGTCCGACCAAGGATTGCTGAATTTTATAAAAACGTGTACGTAAAATGTGTACTGATTTGTTCGGCTAAGTAGTACATGTAATAAAATTTAGAAAAAAAATAAGCTTTTCTGTGGGTAATCGCACGTGTATGAAAAACGCCGAAAAGCTGTTTTTACACTGATGTTGGTTACGTAAGTATTTAAATGAACGCCGGTTAATAACTGATTAGAAGTCGGCATTATTTAAGCAATGCGTACACGTGCGCTGAACTGACATTGATCTTGGTTGAATCTTAAGCCCCGTTTACACTACGCTCAATTTTTGGTACGGCACGGATAAAATTGGTACCCGTACCACTTTTTTGGTTCTTGGACTACCTAAATAGGTAGTCCAAGAACCAAAAAAGTGGTACGGTACCAAAAATCGAGCGTAGTGTAAATGGGGCTCAAAATATATGTAGTCCAAGAACCAAAAAAGTGGTATGGGTACCAATTTTATCCGTGCCGTACCAAAAATTGAGCGTAGTGTAAACGGGGCTTTAATCTTTTATTCATATCGCTTTTTACTCAGAGGCGCCGGAGAATCGATAATAGCGGGGGCAGATATTCATATATTCGTGTTCACAGACTGTAAAAACAATCGATTTCAAAAGAAATTAATTGGGCAGAACACGAATATATGAATATCTGCCCCCCCAATTATCGATTCTCCGGCGCCTCTGTTTTTACTGATCATAACAACAGAGCATCTAGATCTTGGATGTATAACATGTGGATGTCATGCAAACATGTTATGTTTCGTACACACAGCTGCAGTGTGGCGCAGAACTCCGACGTTAATTTCTAGCGAATGCCCTTCGTACCCGCAGAGGAAGCGCCTTTCACCGTTCGATTCAAAACATTCATGTGAAAATTGAAAAGTGTCGGTCAACACTCCACCCGGCGAAAGTCGTGGGTTTTCACTTCGGGTACTCCGGTTTCCTCCCACAGGGCCGGGAATGAGGGTGGGTTGGGATAAGTCCCAAACTGACCATTCCACCGTAGACACTGTGCCCCGTGATCCGCAGTCATGAGTCAGAAGGTGGCTGGCAGGGACTAAGTAAAATTGCAAAATTTGGTTGCGAAATGTTGTAAAACTTGGAAAATATAGTTTGCAGATTTTGTATGTTTGTATTGCGTGAGGAAATTGTTACCATTTTCGGCTCAAAAATGGGTGACAATTTCCGCACGTAATACAAACATATACAAAATATGCAAATTACTTCGCAAGGCTATATTTTCCGTATTTTACAACATTAATTCGTATAACCAAATTTTGCAATTTTACTAATTTTAATAAGTTCTTTACGGGAATTTACTCTTTTTTTTGCCTAGAAAAAACATTAGTCGAACATGAGCTCATGCGTCCTTCGTAATCAGCTTAGCTCTCGGTTGCAAGTAAAGTTGATTAGCTCGACCCCAGTCCCACTTACTTCTACACCGAAGATCTGCTTATATTGTTCAGATATAGTTGTAAATCCTTGACAACGCACCTTTCTGTTATGTGTTATCCGGTGGCGGTGTCTAGGGAAAAATAATACAATTTTCAATGTGCCTCATAAGACCCTGGCTTAGGGATCGGTCATAAAGTAACTGCTAGGGTGGGCTGGAGTGATTTGGGATGGGCCATGGAACATTTTTGGGCAGTTTCGATGGGCCGCCAATTTTTTTGTATGTCCACGGTTGGGCCACCAAACAAAACCCATGTTAATTATATATTATATAAAGATATTACAAATAAAAGTAAACAAAACTATCCAAAATATCAAATGGAAATGATGCTATTGAAGCCAGTACTTTGTTTTATACAACAACAAGAAGTGATCGAATCACAGCAAATACAACCAACTGCCACTGGAGAGCAGCTCAGTATCGTAATTGGTGATGAATGTGTTGGTCAAGCTTGGTGGAATTATGTATGTCAATACAGTGCCGGTGTATATTTACAATGTATGTCGTACCTGCAAGTTTTTTTTTATTATAAAAGTGTATTTTCCCAATTTAGATTGGGTTGGTGGGTCATGAAATAAATTTGGTAAGATTAGATGGGCTTTGAAATTTTTATCTGCATTCTAAGATGGGTCACCAAACTTATTGGCAAAATTTGTGATTTACCTCCAGCCCACCCTAGCAGTTACTTTATGACCAGTCCCTTATATGGATCGAAAGCTTTGCCAAAAAAACGGAACGTGATGTTTTCCACAAGCTAACAAAAGAGTTATGTAATAGTTACATAACAGTTATTTTTTACCAGGCCTCTAGTTTAAGAATTCGGCGTCAATAAGGGGCTGTTTATCTGATCCGGTTTGCAGAGACGGATGGAAGGTGGGATGATTTTGATGTACTGGAGTAAGTCACCATGCTTAAATGAAAGTCGAAACGCCTGTTTAAAGGGACTGGAATGTCGGCGAGAAGAACAATAAGATCTTCTTGAACAACGAGATGCTTGAACAACCATTCGTTTACGCTATAATCTATCACTAAGTCTAAGAAAATCATGGAGTTTGCTGAACCATGAGTATCGGCGTCACTTGAATACGTCTAACCCACTGAGCTATACAAAGTCCTGTTGCTGAGCTTTAACCACAAGTTCATGTATAAATATTAAGGTGATGTATATAATGAGTATTGGTCTGATATGTTAAAACAAGCCCTGTTTTTCATTATATGCAAATGTACAAGGAATTATATCATGGCTGAATTATTGTAATACACTTTACCATACGTTATATATTACAAACAAGATTATCAATGATCGATTGTCAATATTAGCCTGAAATTATGGTCTTAGAACAGTCTTATATGTATGTCCTATACGCAACAGGGTTGTATTAACTGTTTCGAGCACGGGCCAGTCTTTGCCGTCAGCCAGTTGTACTACCGAGCGGTCTGCGTTTACTGTATTTGTCCGTGGTGTAAGGTTAACTACTTTCGAGGTCAGGCTGTCTCTATTGGGACTCGATGTGCCAGAGTCATTCTTAATGCTCATCCTCGACACAGCAGTATCGACGTGTTCAGCACTCTAGGTTGGGTACCTTTTTGTGTTGATGATGTTGAACGTTGTCTCGTGGCGTATAAAAGGTCAGCTGATATCTCTCCAGATTACGTATTAAAGGATCTGTTGATTCGCAGTGCTCCGAGATATAACAGAATTAAAGAAAGAGGGTGTACATTTTCGATAAGCACAGCCAAATGCTGGAACTACCTATAGTTAAATTACGTACCGGTAGTTCCATATACATTTTTAAGAAAGAATTATACCGAAAACGTACGACCGATCAACTTAACGACAAGGTTTTTAATCCATTTTTAGATAATCTTGAGACACTATATTATATATGTACACGCATAGCATACTCTGTAGGTTTTACTGTTGTTTATTATTTTATAAGTATACATAACATATCATTAGGGCCACAAGTTTATTAGTTGTAAAACTATTATGCGTTACTGAGCCTCGTTAAATAAAGTTTAAATGAAATGAACTGTGTATTGTCTATTGAGATCGAGTCTACGTTCACACAGAGATGGACTGATGACTCCAGCTTTAGACGAAATTTTGATCTAGACAAGAACGAAAGCCATTACCATAGCTGGAAAGAGCAACTTAAAATGAGTAAAATTGCAAAGTTTGGTGGCGAATTGTTGCAAAATGAGGCCGAAAATATAGCCGAAAATTTACCGCACGTAATACAAATATATGCAAAATTTGCGAACTTCACAGGGCTATATTTTCTTCATTTTACAACATTTAGCAACCAATCTTTGCAGTTTTACTCATTCTAAGACGCTCTTTCTAGCTGTGGTCTTGGATTTCGTTTTTCTTGCCTTGATCAAAATTTAATCTATAGCTGAAATCACCCATTACGACGAGCAGTGCCACACGCGGAACCTGATGAATTGTAGCCCCGGAAGTATTTACGTACGCGTGCGCAGACGGTCTCAATCAGTCTCGATCCCAATCCTCTACCGTGTAAAATAGAAAAAGTCCGGTTCCGCTGTTTACATGATCGGGCACCGTCTGATTTAGGAGCCATATTCCGGTACAAAACGAGACCTAATTTTATTGGGTCTCGAATTCGTACGGTTAGTTGTGTTGGAATTCGCCCGACTTCATACGTCCCGCATCAGAACGCAAGGCAAAACCAGACGAATTTTGAGCACGGGTCCAAATTCACCCGGCCACGTGTGAAACGTTAAGACAATACGAAAACTGTCATATCCCGAATCAGTGTGTTGGTTGGCATTAATTATTTAAATATACATATCTACATATCAATATTCGAACCGACAAACTGTCAAAACCTTGCGAACTTTTCCGGCTGATAGTTACACACGACCAAACATTCACGTATATCGGTTCATCTATAATTTGGTTCGACCATCGTCGTACTACGAACTGGCTTTCACGTGAATTTAAAACCGTTTATATTATATTTTCCGAATTTTTACGATGTGTATATTATGCCCGTAGAATAATCGTCCAAATTACAAAAATCAATTGAGGTTCTTTGTGACATTTGTTCGACCAATCAGACGTTTGCTTTTCAAGCTGTGGCCAATCAGAAAGCGTGCGACAACGAGCAGGTGTTTCTAAAACTCGTTAAAATATTGAAATATCTACATTTGAAATCAAGACGTAATTGAAGCAGGGCTGGCCAGTGACCAATCAAAACTGTCCTAGGCTGTTGATCTCGACTGATTGAAAAATAAATTATTCATCAACAGCAAAGATCATATTTTCCACTTGATTTCGAATGTCAGACGGTGAACCGAGTTGTCTTCGGATTTTTGCTCTAAAAATCTAGTTATTTTCCACCAAAGCCGAGCAAGCCCTGATTCAAAACGACGAGAATTGAAGAAATGAAGTTCAACAAAGGTCTAACCCGCGAATTCGTTTGTTTTTTGATCATCTACGGCTTCGATTTCGGAATGGACGTCGGGGTCTTTTTCGACGCAATCCAATCGCACGCTCGCTACGAGAAATTCTTCAATTCTGACGAGTTCCAACTGAACCACACTCGAAGCATCCTGAAGTGTTCAACCGGTCCGTGGGTTCGCAGGGATTATGAAAAAAAGTTGGATCATTTTGAGGGCATTATGTATACATACGCTTTCTTCATATGCGTCGGCGGGCTGTTGATAACCGGCTTTCTTTTCGCCTATGTATGGATGCTGTACCAGACGACGCTTTCGCCTGAGTTTATTATCGAGAAACGCGAGATGTATGTTGATATTAAGTTTTGGTTTGGCTTTCTGTGTAGCATGGTATACAATATTCCCGCTTCGGTGCTCGGAGTTGAGCTGTATTCGGAACGGAGCGGGGCAGGCGGCCTGATGTGTTTTGAATGCTCGCAAGATGTGTACTGTAACGATAAGGAGATCTTACAAGATCGCCAGGAAAAGCTACTGTTACTGGTCGTATTCAATATGGTATCTTTTGTCATAGTAAGCCTTTACAAAGGAGTGACTACGTTTTATCGCTGGTCGAAAGTAGACAATATGCCGAACTTGAGGTGCTCGGAGATTCGTGCCTGCGCAGCGTTATTCGCCGGGAGTAACTACGCTATCATCATGATGACACCTGCCCTCGGCTTGCTCAAGTTTAAGTTTTTCTCGTTGTCGACCAATACCGGGAATATCTTCGCGGGCATTACCGAAAGCTTGTTCCTGATTGGTGGCCTTGGATGGGCTGTGTTCACCGTGATAGCATTCTGTTGTCCGTTGTTGCGGTATATTACTATGAAGTGATCGTCCAGGGGGAACACGTGCATCAATGTGCATAGATGACAGCTAGAGTGGGGAGGGGAATAGACACTGAATAAAACCAAAGGAAATGGATCAAGCGCCTAACCAGGGTGCCTACCTACACGCATAAAAGTCTGCCAACAAGCCGTCAACAAGTTGTGTTTTCGCACTGCTAAATCCCCAAGTTGTCAACAAGTTTTGGAACAAGCTGTGAAAAATTTATATGACAAACTTGTTGCTATTAT